CTCTCTCTCTCTCTCTCTCTCTCTCTCTCTCTCTCTCTCTGTCTTTCTCCCTTTCCCCTTATTCTCACCCTTGCTCCCGCTCTCGTCGGCTTCCCCATTCAAGGCTTCCCCTTCACCCGGCTCAACCCCTGCCGACAATCCGGCGCACGATAACATTTCGTTCTACAACTTTACCCACTTCCAGTTCGCTTTATAGTCGCGCTATTCTGTTTTCCGCCCGAGAATCTTCATCGATTATCGACTTGGAAATCATTTCGGGTAAGAAAGTTTTGCTGTAAACTCGACGCGTCAAGTGTGAAGTGCTACGTCGTTTCACACGCTGCTGCCTAGCGGTAACGATTATTTGTTGCTCGTGTAACTCGCAAGTATACAAAATTTCTTTTAGCCTACTATCAATTCTTTGTACACGCATATGCGGCAAACGACAGGTCGAGCTCTTAATTTTCGCAAATACCACTGTTATTGTTCGACAATAGAGAAATTGCGGTAACTATTTAGAATACGGGCACCACCTCAAATATCGATAAAATTATGCTCGTTCGACGCGGTTTGACACGAAACGAAAGAATCTGGCAATTAAAATCGCCGCGAAATTACTGTAAAACTTTGATTCTATATTATAGTGAATGCGCGAAATACGTTAATGACCTAAGAAATTTTGCGGCGTAAAAAAAACGTAACGTTGCTTTGTTACTCCGAAATTCCCCCGCCGGTATATTTATGATTGGCCTTCGCAAAACATTGTAGAAAGAAAGCAACGTGTGCGCGAGCTCATTAATTCTAATAATTCATGAAGAAACACGCACGCACGTAATAGCTCGGAGCGGCTTACGATTTGACGGATAGAGAGTTGCCCCAGCCCTCGTGTTTTTAAATGTCGGCTAAATTATATTCTGATATTTTAATAGACCTAATTTACATGTAAAACCACTTTCAAAATCATTCTGTCTCCAACACGCTACCAGCGTTTCCTCTTGCAAACGAGGAGCAAATACCAACGAATCGAAAACAGCTCTCTGCAAATCCCTTAAATGACCACTCGTATTTTTCTTTCTGTTCTTTGAAAATTACGTGCAATTTTCTCTACCGCGTAACAATGTTTAACCGTTTCGTCCCTTACGTAATAGCTAAGAACAATTGAGCCATTTTGAGAGCAAGAATTGCGCATTTATCTGCAAATAATCGGGAGCCGGAGTCGAGTGAGCGCTTCTGGCGGAACAGTTAGCCTGTAAGAATGAGAAAAAGGGATCCGATGAACCGAGTAGCGTGTTTTTGGAGCCAGATGTTAATTCCGACAACTCAGCGTGAGCCACGGGGAAGACGGTTTAGTACGTAAATACATCTTCAGCGGGGGGTGCCATTATAATGGGCATGTGCGGTTAAAGTTCTATTTGTGGTAATTCGGAGTTTAATGCACTCGGGGCTCTGATTTAGCCAGCGAGAGAGCTGAC